AGTGAGAATGGCCCCTGAAAAGGATCTTGGGCCTGGTCTTCCTTTCTCTTGATAACCCCTCTCTTTGTTTAACCTGAAAACCAGGCTGCCAACTCAAGTGGCAGATCACCTTCACCATTCATGGGATACAAGCTTGGGAAGAGTCCACGAATCACCTGCAAGGGCCAGTGTCGTATAAGTATCGTTTCCTCTCAGCTGGGACTTTCTTCTATTTGTAATAAGCAAGGTAACAGGAATCACTTAAGGGATGGCCAGGGCAAGCCTGGACAAAGGTGGCTTCTATTGTAATTGTTGCAAGAGGAGGCGAGGGTGACATGGGACTCAAAGGGGATGCTGGGAACAGCTGGCTAGGAGGATTGAGATGCTTGGTTAAGGAGCATCTGAGAGTCACTACTAGGAGACTGAACCAAGCACCCTAAGAAGAAAGAAGACAGGTATTCTTGCCCCTTTATCTTTACCCAAGGTTACATAGACTGAGTGACCAATGGGGAAAAAATACCCAGAGATCACTGAAGTACTGGTTGCCTGAACATCAGAAGGCCAGGTCTAGAATGAAGAGGGGAAAAAAAAAATCAGAGGAGGAAGGGTTGTCAAAAATAGGAGGGCTGTGCTCCACATATTTGTTTGCAGGTTGGTTGTTTGGATCAGAGATGAAGCAATGTGGCTGAGCATTTGGTTTGATTCACACTTACAGGGTCTGCTTTGCATATAGTATATCTACTATGGATGTGTGAATCCCAGGCTTCTCCAAGCAACAATGCATATAGCTTGGAAGGCTCTAGCTGCCGAGTCACGGAGAGGAATGTGTCCTAGTCTTCAAACTGTCTTGCTCATTGATGCCTGCACGTGGGGCTGCTGGAAGATGCAGCAGGCCAGTCACTGCAGCTTATGAAGACTACTTCTCTTAAGCTGTACTTTCACAATACATTGCTAACCTGTTTTTACTAACCAGAAGAAAGTCAGAGGATTTTCACATAAAAACAAGACAAAAAACACTACACACTAATGTTGGTCTTTCGTAAAAGTGAGGTAGCATAACGCCCACTTTTGGAAAGTCTGAAGTCTACTGTCTGATACAGGTCTCCCCTGCTCTCTGGGAGTACAGCATTCCTTTCTCTCAAGGGCAGCTTATGCAGACTACTTCTTTACGAGGGTGTTTATAGTTTTTCTATAGAAAAACTTTTGGAAAACATCTTTCTCTTAATTACCTGTTTTAATTAAAAACATGAAACACTTGATTATTTGTTATAGGTGACATACTACAATCAGCCCTCTGTATCCATGGGCCACACCTTTGCGAATTCAATCAGTCTCAGGTAGAAAATATATTTTTTAAAAGCACAGAAAGTTCCAAAAAGCAAAACTTGGGTTTCCTATGTGCTGAACAGTATGCTAAGTCCACTCAAATGAACTGAGGTGTAGGCATACCCTGCAGTAACCTACATGCAGATATAGGTTACATGCAAATATTACATCATTTTATACAAGGGACTTGAGCATCCTGAATTTTGCTATCTACGGTGGGTCCTGGAACCAATGCCCTATGGATACTTCAGGACAACTGTATATAGGTCATTAAATACACATAGAGAAACAAGTAAAACTTTCTTGTATCCTATATCCTGATTTTGGTTTAGAAAATGTTTTTAAGGAGACATAAGAAAAGTACAGGTTGTTGCCAATCTAATGCCTATAAAAAATCCTGATGTTTTGGGTGGAGTGTTCTATAAATGTCTATTAAATGCTGTTGGTGGATACTATTTCGAACCTGGGACCCTTTGAGTCTGCAGGCCGACTATCTGCTAAGCCAAACCGATTAGGGCGGTGGATACTATTACTGAATTATCTTATATCCTTGTGAATTTCCTGCCTTGTTCTATTAATTGTTGAGAGAAGGGTGCTTCAGTATCCATCTATGTTTATAGATTTGTCTATTACTCCTTTCGGTTATGTCAGCTTTTGCTTCTTATATTTTGTAGTAATCTTATTTGGTGCATACACATTTAGGACTGCGATATCTTCTAGATAGATTGGCCCGTTTGTTACTATTATGTAATGTCCCTCTTTGATAATTTTCTTTGCTCTGAAGTCTGATACAGGTCTCCCCTGCTTTCCGAAAGTAGAGCATTCCTATGAAACCTTTCCTAAGCCAAATGGCACAAAGTGAAGAGTATCTCCTGCTTTCTAAAGTTCCTGTTATGCCACTTCACTTTTACAAAAGTCCAACATTAGTATGGTAATTTTTTTGTTTTGTTTTTAAGTGAATATCCTCTGGATTTCTTCTTGTTAGTGAAAAGAGGTTAACAATGTAAGTATTTTGTGAAAGTGGTGCAATTTGAAATATGGAAGTGAGGGCTACTGTATTAACACAGTCAGTCATTCCTGGTTCCTTTTGACCAACATTTGCATGATGTGTATCTTCCCATTCTTTTACTTTCAATCTACATAAATAATTTTATTTGAACTGAGTTTTCTGAAGACAGTATATAGTTATTTTATTTCACTCTGCTCATCTTTGTCTTTTAATTGATGTATTTAGGCCATTTACATTTAATGTAATTATTGATGTTAGATGTTGTGTCATTTTATTATTTGCTTTCTATTTTTTTGTTTCTCTATGTTCTTTATTTTGTCTTTCTATGTATTACTGAATTGCTTTCTATTTTGTTTTGTTAATCCTCACTCAAATATATTTTTTTCCATTGATTTTTAGAGAGAGTGGAAGGAAGGGGAGAGATAGAGAGAGAGAAACATCCATGTGAGAGAGACACATCATTGGGTGCCTCGTGCATGTGCCCTGACTGGGCCAGGGATCAAGCCTGCAAATGAGGTATGTGCCCTTGACTGGAATCAAACCTGAGACTCTTCAGTCCATGGACTGATGCTCTAACACTGAGCAAAACCAGCTAGGGCTACTGAATATGTTTTAGAATTCCATTTCTATTTACTTGCGGTGTTTTACAGTATCTCTTTGTATAGACTTTAAAGTGGTTACTCTAGGTATTGTAGAACACACACACACACACACACTAATAGAAGAGAAAGATGCAAATTGACCATACCTTTGCAATACCCACCAGCCAATCAGGAGTATGCAAATTAAACCAACAAAGATGGTGGGTTAATTTGCATACGCAGGTGCCAAGTGGCCAGGGGTGGGATGCTTGCATTGTCACTATGGCAATGACACAGGCGTTCCACACCGCCCCAGCCGCTCCGGGCCTCTAGGCAGAGTGGGAAGGCGGAAAGGCGTCTCTGGCCAGAGCCAAGGGGGTGCTGGCAGCCAGGGGAAGGAAGGCCCATTCTTGTACAAGACTTCATGCACCGGGCCTCTAGTATATATATATATATATGTGTGTGTGTGTGTGTGTGTATGTATGTATATATATATATATATAGTCTATTGGTATTGATGTCTTACCAGTTCAAGTGAAATGGAGAAACCTTACTTCCTTTTTTGTTCCTTTACCCTCCCCTACTTATAATATAATTATCTTAAATAATTCGTCTGTATACATTTAGAACCACATCAGTGTTACAATTTTTGCTTCAACTGTTAAAAATAATTTAGAAATCTCAAGAGAAGAAAAATATAATTCCTCATTTTTTCTTCTGTTTTTTTTTCCTTTCTTAATGTTTCAAGATTCCTTCTCTTATCACTTCATATTTAGAGAACTTCTAACAGAGATTCTTTTATGCTACATCTTATAGTTACAGATTCCTTTGGTTTTCCGTCATTGGAAAATATCTTAATTTCCTCTTTTTTCCCCTGAAGGATATTTTCACTGAATATATAATTCTGTATTGATGGTTCTTTTCTTTTTGCACTTGAAATATGTGTCATATGTGATGAGAAGCCAGCTGTCATTCAAATATATTTTCCTCTATAATTAATGTATCATTTCTCCCTTGGTGCTTTCAAGACATTTTCTTTGTTTCAGCTTTTAAAAGTTTGGTTATGATGTATTGTGTGTGGTTTTCTTAGGGTTATTCCGTTTAGAATTCATCTAGCTTCTTGAATCTGTAGGTTTATGTCTTTTGCCAAATTTGGGAAATTTCTATTTATACTGTTCTATCCTCGTGTCTACCAATTCTTTCTTCTGTCCCTTCCACTTTCCTGGTGAGATTTTCCATTTTCAATTTTTAAAATTAGTTATTTTTTAATCTTACTGTATTTTTCAGTTCTAAGATTTCCATTCAGTTTTTCTTTAAATCTCTTTCCTGACACTTTCTATTTTTTTCATTAGTTTCAAACATGTTCACTAATTGCTCATTGAAGCATTTTATAATGGCTGCATTAAAATCTTTGCCAAATAATTCTCTGTCATTTTGGTGTTGGCATCTATTGTCTTTTTTGATTCAAGTTGAAATTTTCTGGGTCTGCCCAAGTGAGCACTGTTATTTTTTTCTTTTTGATGAAACTTTGTTTCACCTTCTCTATCAGCTCTAAGCAAAGAAATGACAGTTCACACTGGCTCTCCAACCTTCTCATGGCTGCACTTCCTGTTAGATTTTTAAATTTTTGGTATATTAGCTTTTTAAGTCTTTTTAAAAAGTTATACATGTATACAGGTCAGAGGATTGAACAGTGCTTCAAAACTTGTTCTTAAAAAGCTCTCCGCGCCCTGGCCAATGTGGTTCAGTTGGTTGGAGTGTGGTACCATACACAAAAAGGCCTGGGTTTGATTCCCAGTCAGGGCATATACCTAGGTTGCCGGTTTGATCCTCAAGTATACTTTGTACAGAAAAATTCTTTCTCACCTTTCTGCAGCTAGAGTGGAGAAATAGCAGGATAAGGTTTAAACTTAAAATCTGGAGTCTTTTCTATTTATCAAACAGAACTCCCCTCACTCTATTCTCATTTTATTTCTAGTTTTAAACTTTTGGAAGAAAAAAAATCCAACACAGAATTCCTTGGTTGATATTCATCCATTGTCTGAGATTATTCTCTTAATGCTTTCTGATACAAGAATAAACGCATACATTTTAAATGTACTTACCAAGGCAGAATGGCTCCAACACACTAAGGACCGAAAATTCACTCTGCATGTTCATTCTTTGAAGGGCCATTCTGATCAGCCAGGACTTGATTGTCTCCGGACATGGTTTAAGTAATAAGTAGCTAGAAACATAGAGAGCATATCGAAGCCAGCACAGAAACGGAGTGGCAATCCTGCCGTTGGGTGACTCGGACATTCGCTCAATTGTTGGAAAGAGCAGAAAGGAGCGAATTATCTACAAGAGAAAGCATATGTTGATGAAAAGTTTCTTAAGGGATAAATAACCTAATGATTTATTGTTTCTTCTATGTAGCATCGACAAATGACTGGGTTTTGGAATATGACTAAAGATTTGTTCAGACTAAGAATCACCACCCACTGCCATCTTAGCCCACAACCAATCTGGGTAGGATATTAGAATGTCCCTTGAATTGTTGGGGTTAATTTTCAGGGTGAGGAGGAAATCAGATTCCTAGGTAACTCTTGACTATGACAGCAATTCAGAATCCCTTTGAAAGGTTGATGCAAGTAGATATATACTATTTTTAGTAATTATAACAACTCAGAAGAAAGTAGAGCCACATAAAAACTCTATACAGTCAGCATTTCTTTTATTGATTATATTTGGAGATAGTCCACTTTTGAAAACCTCCTCTAGTTCTTAATCTTACCAGGCAAAGATAATCTTTAATAAGACCAAATATATTTCTAACAACTGATTCAACCTTAGTAAAGTGCAGGCCAGGGACAAGTGAAGCTGGACATCTCTATCTACATGGGAAAATGTTTAAGGACAAAAATATCATTTCAACTGAATTCCTTATAATATAAGGAAATATATTTTAAAAATCTCCCAGAAGAAAAAAGAGCACCACTGAACATCTTAAATTTACCATTATTAATATTTAAAAATTAATGTATAAAAATAATTTTTTATGAGGAATCAGAGGTCAAAACAGTAAAGCACAATCCCCTATCAAAAATAAACAAAATGGAATAGAGCATCAATGTTACCAGATTGTACAACAGGAAATGAGAATGAAAGAGCCCGCGGATGTTCCAGGCTGGTCTCGAGAGCGGCTCTTATCTGCCCCCTCTCCTGACTGCCTTCCCCTGCCACCCCGGCACAGGGCTGAACTGCTGGTCCAGACGGAATAGCAGGAACCTGCACTGTCATCCTGGCCACTTTGGCCTCCAAAGATGCAACCCATGGACTGAGTGCCCTGTCCAATCCCATTCCCCACCTCCATCCCATCCCTGGCCATAGGAAGGCGTTCCCCGTCATCAGCATCCAGTTAGAGGACGCGAAGAAGTGTCCCTCACCAGGGTCCCCTGGTTAGCAAATTAATATTAACAATTCTGATTTTTCTTCTATAATCTCTTTTCTTCTCTAAATTTCCACCTGCCAAGATTTACTTGTATTTTAATAGCGGATGTCAGACAAGCAGCGTGGAGCAAGTCCCACCTCAGAACTATAATTTTAAATACAATGAGAGGCGCATCAACTGTCGCACTGACAAGCGGGGAATTATTCCACATGGACTTCTAAAGTGCATCCTAAAAGCTTCAAAGACCGAGCACATTTTAAAAGAATTTAAATTGACACAATGGTTTTGCTTTTTTTTTTTTTTAAAAAAAAACAACCTCTTAAATTGTTAAGTATAACACATACTGAAAAGTACACAAAATTTAAATGTGACATTTAACAAATAATTTATAAGATGCATGGTTATGTGGGTGAAGAAACAAAACATGGCCACCATGGCATTTTCTAATCACAACTCCTTTTTCTGCTCATACCTTAATAACCTCTATCCTGACTTCCTGACTATGATTTTTATGAATACTCATCATCCCTTAATATTATAATCACTTCCTTGTTTTGCTTTTCATTATTACTTTTCAACCTGCCACAGAATGAACTGTTTTGCCCCAAATGTATATGTTGAAGCCCTAACTTCCAATGTGACTGTATCTAGATAGGTAATTAAGGTTAATGAGGTCATAGGGTGGGGCTGATAGGATTACTTATCCTTATAAGGAGAGACCCCAGACAGCTGCTCTCTTCCTCACCACACACAAAGAGGAGGTCTGGTGGCCTGGTGAACACACACAGGGAGAAAGGTGGCCATCTACAACCCAGGAAGAAGTCCTACCAGAAACCATGCTGGCATGTGGCTCTTGGACTTCCAGCCTCCAGAGAAAATAAATGTCAGTTGTTTAAGTCACACAGTCTATGGTATTTTGTTATGGCAGTTCCAGCAGACTAATACATATCCCTTAATACTATAGTTAATTTCTGTCTGTTAATGAACTTTCCATAAATGCAATCATACACTACATTTTCATGTTTTACTTCCTTGACTCACTCAATATTGCCTATAAGATTCACCCATGTTGATATATGTAGCAATAGATTATCTTTGCTATATAGTTTTCCGTTGTATGAACATACCTCAACTTATTTAGTTTACTGATAGATATTTGGGTTGATTTCAATCCAGAGGAACTATAAATATGCTGTCATGAACTATATATTTTTATACATGTCTCTTGGTGCATGTGTGCATGTATTTCTGTTGACTATATCAGCTCGAAGTAGAAAGAGTGGGTCATATGGTATCCATATGTTCAGCTTTAGTAGATAATTCCAAATAGATAATTTCTATTTAGTAGATAATTTCTAAGGTAGTTGTACCAATTTACTCCCCTAACAACAGATATGAGAGTTCACACTGTTTCCTATCTTCACCATTATTTGGTACTGGCAAACTTTGTAATTTTTACTAACCTGATATAGCGGTATCTCATTGTGCTTTTGATTTGTGTTTCTGATGAATAGTAAGGTTGGATAGCTTTTAAATGTTTATTGGACATTTTCTATATCATCTAAAGTACTTATTCAAGTCTCTTGCATATTTTTCTATTAGGCTTCCTGTCTTTTTTTCATATTGATTTGTAGGAGCTGTTTTTTATTCCACATACCAGTCCTTTTTCCTGTGTCAGTCCTTGGCTTGCCTGTTCAACTCGTATTATTCTTATTTTTTTTTCATAATGGAGATAAGTCCTTAAGTTTGATGCAGTTGAGTTTAACAGTTTTTCTTTTATAGTTATTGTTCTTTGTGCCTGGTTCAAGAAATTCTTCTCTAACCTCAAATCATGAAGATATATTTTCATTCAAAATGTTTTAGGAATTAGATAATGCTACCTCTTATCTGTTCTACAGTGTGGGTTTAAGCCTTCGTTGTGTTTAGCTTCAGTGTGAGTCTGTTCCTGTGATTTCAGGTATCAGTCACTTTCCATTTCCCTTACGTATTGCATTCCTCCCTCTGGATGGGCTGAGTGCACTTTTCCCGTCAGAATCTTAGAGAGAAGGTGGGTTTTGGTGGACTTGGTCTCTTGTCGTTTTTCATAGTAACCTGTTTGAGGGCATTGCCCAAACATTAAAGTTGATCAGGTAGCACCTGTAATTCTGCCTTCATGTCTCTCTTATTAATAGAGAAAAGAGATTTGAGGGTGAAAGCTGTGGAGGACTCTTTTCTTTCTAGCCATATCCTCTTATTTTCCCTTGGTCGTATCTGTCAGCTAACTGCTCAGCCATTTCCTGTAGACTTTTCCTTTGCTCTCAACAATGACAGATCATTTTTGGTCACAACAACTCGACCTCTACTAGATTTCCTCCTCTGTTACGTAAGTAAGAATGTACTGTTCTCTGAACACCAACATGGCCTTGATGGAGAATAAAAGACATTCTTTGGGAGCAGGGAATCACAGCCTTTTCAGGTGATTTTTAAAATTCTGGCTTGGCAACAACAGATTGCAAAATACTCGTAACACACTTTTCAAATGGATTCAGGGTTTCAGGCAGAATACAGGAGTTTCTGCCACCTTGGCATCTTCTCAAGCACCAAGCAGAGATGCTGGACGGACTGTTCTTAATAAAGGCCTTCTGAGGCATCCACGGGAATTATAATGATATCACTGTCCACTCCAGAATGTCAGGGATGATCCAGAATCCTCCCATCAGAGCCGGCTGCAGGAAGTGCAATGGGTTTATACAAAGGTCATATACAGTTGACCCTTGAACAATGTGGGGCTCTGGGATGCCCACCCCCATTCAGTAAAAAATCTGCATGCAACCATTGACTCCCCCCAAATTCAGTCATCTCTTGATATCCAGGGAGGACTGGTTTCAGAAATCCTGTGGATACCAAAGTCTGCAGATGTTCAAGTCCCCATATAAAATGTAGAACATGCATATACTCAGCTCTTGGCATCCAAGGATTCCCAATCGTGGACTGAAAATACTGTTCTTGATTACGGGTAAGCGCAGTATGTAGCACAGGCATTATAATGACAATTACCTTCAGCTGCAGGAGCACAAGTAAAGAACCTAACAGTTTCACACGTCTCCAGTTCTCTCCACTCCTGTATAAAGTGGCTATGCCACCGCTTCATCTTTGCATTTTAGTCCCAAGGCATTCTTCAGGACTTCTCCTAATGCCTCAAAGACAAGTGTGACTGCCGTCTCAGATGTGTGCAATGTGCCCTTCAGAGTGGCAAATGTTAAGAAATCTAACAAGACAAGTAATAAAGACGTGGGTCCAAAGGGCCTCTTACACATGGCAGGGATCGTTAGACTCCGCTCTTCTGTTTCTGAAAGGATAGTCACTGCAGTGGGTGTCTGGAGCTCACACACAAAGTGACTTTTCATCACACTGTTAGCAGTTCAGTCCAGGGAGCTGGCATCCCACTTGGACACCAAGCAGCATGCTTTACAAATGTGAGAGGTAGAAATGATGGCAAGTTTGCCAGCATCTGGAGTGCTGCTGCAATTAAGCATGGATGCCACCCCTTCACCTTCAGAATTCTTCTACCATCTTTTGGGTAGTTCTAATAAATGAGTCCTTTTATTCCTGCAAGTGATATTGGACTTAACAAAACTTGAGAGATTTAAACAGGGGTGGATTCATAAAAAGCAATCTGTGGTGTTAAGAGAGGTAGCATTTCCCATTACCCTGCCAGGCCTCCCAGCTGAGGGGTTGAGAGAAGCCACCTTCCCTATCCTGGGAAGAATTCTCCGTCAAGGATGAGAGCAGGCTTTTTGATAGCAGCTGCAGTGGCAGCAAAGGAGATGGTGAAGAAACGGACTTCTCAGCCTCAGTCAAGTGCAGTCCCACCTGGATCTATAAGCTGTGGTAAAGAAGCCAGGTCGGTCAAGTTCAGTCACTGAAG